GGGGGGGGGGGGGATTTAGGGAAATTTAAAAAATCTTCTTCTCCAGTTCTAGAAATGCTACTAATGCTACTAAATACTACTAATAGCTGTAAAGGCCTTTGGGTGGTTTATAAAATTTGTGATTTTCATGTCTCTCAGAGCCCCCGTTTGCCCCTGAGGAGGGGGTGAACTTTAGTATAGTTTATATATGAAATAGACATAATAGGCCATATCTTCCAATGTTTTGAACGGAATTTTCCTATTTGACAGAAATACTTGTTAGGGGAGGAAGGTCTGCTGGTATAATTTTTGTGACCCTGACCCCCTAGGGGGCTAGGTTTGGGGTGAAAAAGGAGGCGAATTTCAAAAACTTCTTCTGCAGTTCCAGAAATGCTAGTATCAAATACTACTCATAGTTGTAAAGGCCTTCGAGTGGTTTATATACTTTGTGATTTTCATGTCCCTCGTTTGCCTTTGGGGAGGGGGTAAAGTTTGGTATTGTTTATATAGACAATTCGACAAATGAACAGCCACCACATACTTTTTATCTCCTAATGTGCTAGTAATAGTAACAACCTTATTTCTTTATGAATTATAAAGTCTCCATAGTAACGCTTCCAAGTTCTTACCCTACATGTCTGAAGTGGTTACAAATTGGCATTGCAGAGCAAATGTAAATATTGTGCCATGATTGCTTAAATAACCAGATGAGTGATACAGGCCCCCTGGGCCTCTTGTTTATGACACGTTATTTCTTCATGATAAACAAATGTTATATATATATAAGACGTGTAAAATATATATATATGAAAATATTGTAGAAAAGAAGATGAATTTGTTTAGAATCACATATCTTAATTGCAATAGGTTGGAGACAATACGAGACTCGTTACCAGACAGGTTATTTTTCCTTGGCCAATGAAAACGGTCCGGAGTTGGTGGCCATATCAATGCACCACAAGAGGTACAACGCGACAGGGAGAACCTACTTCCGCCCCGCCCTCAGCGTCACTATCAACATCTCAGCGGAGATACTCGGCACCTCTGCCACAACCCCGCGCAACCCAGAGGCCCTGTTGGTCAGGATAAGTGGGGTCAATGACTCGGAGAGTGTCCGGGATGACTTCTACATCGACACTCCTCTATACCGACTCTACAGTTTTCGTAACTACACGCCAACTTCACACGATAAAGACTACCCGGTAATCATGTATTGATATGATCATACCCTGCACAGTATTCACACCTGCATTCTGTATCTGGAATTTCTAACACTTTGAATAAAAATCCTGAATCCACGAGTTGCCAACAATACCACATCATGGATTTTGGATTTGAATTAAATTTGTTGGAAATATGCCTGTGTCTATGTTTTGCCAGAAGTAACCTTTAAATATATGATAAAACAACCCTTCTGAAGTGTATTTCATTTCCTAAATACAAAGTCATACATGTATAATACTGTATTTAAGGGCTATTTCAAGCATAACACCTATATCTAGTTATATACAATGATTTTCTATATATGCCGCTTCAGAAACGTCTTGGTAATGGAACTGAAGGCAAACTATGAACAAACACATAATTTACATGGAAACCCTTGAAAAGGTACGAGGCGAATAATACCAGGTGTTCCGGAAGGGTAAGCGTCTTCTGGTTCATCGACGCCATGTATATCTGGGTCAAATCCAAGTAATATCACGTCCTAACACATAGAACTCGGGTAGTGACAACAAAAACACACCCTTTATATCACACAAAGAAATAACATTTTCCCCACATGAGATCAAAGTTGCGACAATAAAACTTGTATATAGTTTATGGCGTAATTCTTTTCATTTAATGCTTAACCTACACGTCCATCTAACCATTGTGATACTTTGCCCGAAGTATCAATTTGGTTGCCTTTCACTTGCAAATGAGTTTATATTCAATATTACACAGTTTCGGATTATTTCTAATTAATGAATACACGCCTCTCTCTTTTGGTGTAGCGACAAGCCTTACTGAAGTGTATAGACAGCCTGGATGCCTGCTCTGTGAAGGTGTACCGACTGGAAATCAGAGCATTTGTTCCTAGCATTCGCTTCATGACTCGCATAGTGTATACTATCACAGCCCCAAACAGTAAGTACAAATGATGTAATCCAATATTTCGTCAATAATTCAACCATAGACTCCAAAGTATAGGATGATTCATTTGATAACTCACTATAGATAGTTTCACGTTGAAAATAGCTTCGATTCTCATGGCCTATCTTTTTACTACATAAATTACATCAGACAGTTTTTGTCGCGCTTGCTCAGATTTATTTGACTATAAACCCCACATTAACGTTTGATATCTACTTTTTGTTTATACAAGCAACGTCGACGAATAGTGAAATACGAGTAACTCTACCTGGAAACGACGTGATTGGTAAATAAGTAAATTACAAGAATTATTGAAATAGGTTGTTATTGTATATGTTGTTTTATAGGTCAGATTATGTGTGTAATATGTCCACCAATGTATAATTTTAATATGTTACCTCTTGTTACGCACGTATACGTATGGCGCGAGCGTAACATATATCTTGAAATCTTGGTACCACATGTATGTTACAGATCGAAACCAGTACCTCCCCCCTGTTATAGCCACAGCGCTCCACCCCCGGGATAACAATGTCACTGTAGTGTTCGAGACCGGCGGTGGTGCCAGGGTGACCAACGTGGCTTTGGTCAGAGTCAACCAAACACAAGTTTCATACATCCAAGTAAGAATGTTTAATATGGATTTTTTTTTACAAGTTTGGGGTCAGCCATCTGCCTTCTTGATTTCTTTATATGAATCGGAGTGTTAGGCATGCGTTGCAGCAAACAATCTGTAGTCTGTACTATCATAGAAATCAAACATGCTCGTTCCTTTCTGCGAAATAGACGATGTCACAAACACGTCACATTAAAGTATTTTTAATGCATACATGCTGTCCACAGGTACTAGCCTCGTCTGTCAATACACCCAAAGTGCTACTAGCCTCGTTTGTCAATACACCAATAGTGCTACTAGCCTCGTCTGTCAATACATCCATTGTGCTACTAGCCTCGTCTGTCAATACACCCATTATGATACTAGCCTCGTCTGTCAATACACCCATAATGCTACTAGCCTCGTCTGTCAATACACCCATTGTGCTACTAGCCTCGTCTGTCAATACACCCATAATACTACTAACCTCGTCTGTCAATACACCCATTGTGCTACTAGCCTCGTCTGTCAAAACACCCATAATGCTACTAGCCTCGTCTGCCAATACACCCATGGTGATACTCGCCTCGTCTGTCAATACACCCATAATGCTCCCTTGAGTCGCCTGTCAATACGCCCATAGTGCTACTAGCGTCGTCTGTCAATACACCCATGGTGATACTAGCATACACCCATAATGCTACTAGCCTCGTCTTTCAAATCTGTCAATACACCCATAGTGCTACTAGCCTCCTCTGTCAATACACCCATAATGCTACTACTAGCCTCGTCTGTCAATACACCCTCTGTCAATACACCCATAGTGCTACTAGCCTTGTCTGTCAATACACCCCTAATAGTGCTACTAGCATTGTCTGTCAATACATCCATTATGATACTATCCTCGTCTGTCAATACTCCTATAATAGTGCTACTAGCCTCGTCTGTCAATACACTCAAAATGCTACTAGCATGTCAATACACCCATAATGCTACTAGCCTCGTCTGCCAATACACCCATGGTGATACTCGCCTCGTCTGTCAATACACCCATAATGCTGCTAGCCTCGTCTTTCAATACAACCATAATGCTAATAGCCTCGTCTGTCAATACACCCATTATGATACTATCTTCGTCTGTCAATACACCCATAATAGTGCTGATAGCCTTGTCTGTCAATACACCCATTATGATCCTATCACACCCATAATGCTACTAGCCTCGTCTTTCAAATCTGTCAATACACCCATAGTGCTACTAGCCTTGTCTGTCAATACACACATTATGATACTATCCTCGTCTGTCAATACACCTATAATAGTGCTACTAGCCTCGTCTGTCAATGCACCCATAAATGTGCTACTTAGCCTCGTCTGTCAATACACCCATAACGCTACTAGCCTCGTCTGTCAATACACCAATAGTGCTACTAGCCTCGTCTGTCAATGCACCCATAAATGTGCTACTAGCCTTGTTTGTCAATCCACCCATAATGATAATAGCCTCGTCTGTCAATCTACTAGCCTCGTCTGTAAATATACCCATAATGCTACTAGCCTTGTCTGTAAATACACCCATAATAGAGCAACTAGCCTTCTCTGTCAATACACCCATTATGATACTAGTTTCGTCTGTCAATACACCTATAATGCTACTAGCCTGGTCTGTCAATACAACCATATTGATACTAGCCTCGTCTGTCAATACACTCAAAATGCTACTAGCATGTCAATACACCCATAATGCTACTAGCCTGGTCTGTCAATACACCCATAATGCTACTACTAGCCTCGTCTGTCAATACACCCTCTGTCAATACACCCATAGTGCTACTAGCCTCCTCTGTCAATACACCCATAGTGCTACTAGCCTTGTCTGTCAATACTCCCATAATAGTGCTACTAGCCTCGTCTGTCAATACCCACATAGTGCTACTAGCCTTGTCTGTCAATACCCCCCATAATGCTACTAGCCTGGTCTGTCAATACATCCATATTGATACTAGCCTCGTCTGTCAATACACTCAAAATGCTACTAGCATGTCAATACACCCATAATGCTACTAGCCTGGTCTGTCAATACAACCATATTGATACTAGCCTCGTCTGTCAATACACCTATAATGCTACTAGCCTGGTCTGTCAATACAACCATATTGATACTAGCCTCGTCTGTCAATACACCTATAATGCTACTAGCCTGGTCTGTCAATACAACCATATTGATACTAGCCTCGTCTGTCAATACACCTATAATGCTACTAGCCTGGTCTGTCAATACAACCATATTGATACTAGCCTCGTCTGTCAATACACTCAAAATGCTACTAGCATGTCAATACACCCATAATGCTACTAGCCTGGTCTGTCAATACAACCATATTGATACTAGCCTCGTCTGTCAATACACTCAAAATGCTACTAGCATGTCAATACACCCATAATGCTACTAGCCTGGTCTGTCAATACATCCATATTGATACTAGCCTCGTCTGTCAATACACTCAAAATGCTACTAGCATGTCAATACACCCATAATGCTACTAGCCTCGTCTGTCAATACACCCATAATACTACTAGCCTCATCTGTCAATACACCCATAGTGCTACTAGCCTCGTCTGTAAATACACCCATAATGCTACTAGCCTCGTCTGTCAATGCACCCATAAATGTGCTACTAGCCTTGTTTGTCAATACACCCATTATGATAATAGCCTCGTCTGTCAATACACCTATAATGCTACTAGCCTGGTCTGTCAATACACCTATAGTGATACTAGCCTCGTCTGTAAATATACGCATCATGCTACTAGCCTTGTCTGTCAATACACCCATAGTAGTGCTACTAGCCTTGTCTGTCAATACACCCATTATGATACTAGCTTCGTCTGTCAATACACCTATAATAGTGCTACTACCCTCGTCTGTCAATCCCCCCATAGTGCTACTAGCCTTGTCTGTCAATACTCCCATTATGATCCTAGCCTCGTCTGTCAATACACCTATAATCCCGCTACTAGCCTCGTCTGTCAATACACCCATAATGCTACTAGCCTCGTCTGTCAATACACCCATAATAGTGCTACTATCCTCGTCTGTCAATACACCCATAGTGCTTCTAGCCTCGTTTGTCAATACACCCATAATGCTACTAGCCTCGTCTGTAAATATATCCATCATGCTACTAGCCTTGTCTGTCAATACACCCATAGTAGTGCTACTAGCCTTGTCTGTCAATACACCCATGATGATACTAGCCTCGTCTGTCAATATACCTATAATAGTGCTACTAGCCTCGTCTGTCAATACACCCATAGTCCTTCTAGCCTCGTCTGTCAATACCCCCATAGTGATACTAGCCTCGTCTGTTAATAAACCCATAGTGCTACTAGCATCGTCTGTCAATACACCCATATTGATACTAGCCTCGTTTGTCAATACCCTCAAAATGCTACTAGCCTCGTCTGTCAAAACACCCATAATGCTTCCTAGCCTCGTCTGTCAATACACCCATATTGATACTAGCCTCGTTTGTCAATACCCTCAAAATGCTACTAGCCTCGTCTGTCAAAACCCCCATAATGCTTCCTAGCCTCGTCTGTCAATACACCCATAATAGTGCTACTATCCTCGTCTGTCAATACACCCATAGTGATACTAGCCTCGTCTGTTAATAAACCCATAGTGCTACTAGCATCGTCTGTCAATACACCCATATTGATACTAGCCTCGTTTGTCAATACCCTCAAAATGCTACTAGCCTCGTCTGTCAATACACACATAGTGCTACTAGCCTCGTCTTTAAATATACCCATAATGCTACTAGCCTCGTCTGTAAATACACCCATAATGCTCCCTTGACTTGTCTGTCAATACTCCCATAGTTCTACTAGCCTCGTCTGTCAATACCCCCATAATGCTACTAGCCTCGTCTGTCAATACACCCATATTGATACTAGCCTCGTTTGTCAATACACTCAAAATGCTACTAGCCTCGTCTGTCAAAACACCCATAATACTTCCTTGACTCGTCGGTCAATACGCCCATAGTGCTACTAGCCTCGTCTGTCAATACACCCATAATGCTCCCTTGACTTGTCTGTCAATACGCCCATAGTTCTACTAGCCTCGTCTGTCAATACACCCATAGTGATACTAGCCTCGTCTGTTAATAAACCCATAGTGCTACTAGCATCGTCTGTCAATACACCCATATTGATACTAGCCTCGTTTGTCAATACACTCAAAATGCTACTAGCATCGTCTGTCAATACACCCATAGTGCTACTAGCCTCGACTGTCAATACGCCCATAGTGCTACTAGCCTCGTCTGTCAATCCACCCATAATACTACTAGCCTCGTCTGTCAATACACCCATTGTGCTACTAGCCTCGTCTGTCAATACACCCATAATGCTACTAGCCTCGTCTGTCACTACACCCATTGTGCTACTAGCCTCGTCTTTAAATATACTCATAATGCTACTAGCCTTGTCTGTCAATACACCCATAATAGTGCTACTAGCATTGTCTGTCAATACACCCATTATGATACTAGCTTCGTCTGTCAATACACCTATAATGCTACTAGCCTGGTCTGTCAATACACCCATAGTGATACTAGCCTCGTCTGTCAATACACCCATAGTGATACTAGCCTCGTCTGTCAATACCCCCATAATGCTTCCTTGACTCGTCTGTCAATACGCCCATAGTGCTACTAGCCTCGTCTGTAAATACACCCATAATGCTCCTAGCCTCGTCTGTCAATACACCCATAATGGTACTAGCCTCGTCTGTCAATACACCCATAGTGATACTAGCCTCGTCTGTTAATAAACCCATTGTGATACTAGCCTCGTTTGTCAATACACTCAAAATGTTACTAGCATCGTCTGTCAATACACCCATAGTGCTACTAGCCTCGACTGTCAATGCACCCATAATGCTACTAGCCTTGCTGTCAATTCACCCATTGTGCTACTAGCCTCGTCTGTCAATACACCCACAATGCTTCCTTGTCTCGTCTGTCAATACACCAATAATTCTACTAGCCTCGTCTGTCAAAACACCCATAATGCTTCCTTGTCTCGTCTGTCAATTCACCCATAATGCTACTAGCCTCGTCTTTCAATACACCCATAGTGCTACTAGCCTCGTCTGTAAATACACCCATAATGCTACTAGCCTCGTCTGTCAATTCACCCATCCCACAAAGCCTCGTCTGTCAATACACCCATATTGATACTAACCAGGTCTGTCAATTCACCCATAGTGCTTCTATCCTCGTCTGTCAATACACCCATAATGCTACTAGCCTCGTATTTCAATACACCCATTATGATACTAGCACACCCATGCTACTAGCATCGTCTGCCAATACACCCATAGTGCTACTAGCCTCGACTGTCAATGCACCCATAATGCTACTAGCCTTGCTGTCAATTCACCCATTGTGCTACTAGCCTCGTCTGTCAATACACCCACAATGCTTCCTTGTCTCGTCTGTCAATACACCAATAATTCTACTAGCCTCGTCTGTCAAAACACCCATAATGCTACTAGCCTCGTTTTTCAATACCCCCATAATAGTGCTACTAGCCTCGTCTGTCAATACAACCATAATACTACTAGCCTCGTCTGTCAATACACCCATTGTGCTACTAGACTCGTCTGTCAATACACCCATAGTGATACTAGCCTCGTCTGTCAAATCACCCATTGTGCTACTAGCCTTGTCTGTCAATACACCCATAGTGATACTAACCTCGTCTGTCAATACACCCACAATGCTTCCTTGTCTCGTCTGTCAATACACCAATAATTCTACTAGCCTCGTCTGTCAAAACACCCATAATGCTACTAGCCTCGTTTTTCAATACCCCCATAATAGTGCTACTAGCCTCGTCTGTCAATACAACCATAATACTACTAGCCTCGTCTGTCAATACACCCATTGTGCTACTAGACTCGTCTGTCAATACACCCATAGTGATACTAGCCTCGTCTGTCAATTCACCCATTGTGCTACAAGCCTCGTCTGTCAATACACCCATATTGATACTAGCCAGACTAGCCTCGTATTTCAATACACCCATTATGATACGTCTGTCAATACACCCATTGTGCTACTAGCCTCGTCTGTCAATACACCCACAATGCTTCCTTGTCTCGTCTGTCAATACACCAATAATTCTACTAGCCTCGTCTGTCAAAACACCCATAATGCTTCCTTGTCTCGTCTGTCAATACACCCATAATGCTACTAGCCTCGTCTGTCAATACACACATAGTGCTACTAGCCTTGTCTGTCAATACACCCATAGTGATACTAACCTCGTCTGTCAATACACCCACAATGCTTCCTTGTCTCGTCTGTCAATACACCAATAATTCTACTAGCCTCGTCTGTCAAAACACCCATAATGCTTCCTTGTCTCGTCTGTCAATTCACCCATAATGCTACTAGCCTCGTCTTTCAATACACCCATTGTGCTACTAGCCTCGTCTGTCAATACACCCACAATGCTTCCTTGTCTCGTCTGTCAATACACCAATAATTCTACTAGCCTCGTCTGTCAAAACACCCATAATGCTACTAGCCTCGTTTTTCAATACACCCATAATAGTGCTACTAGCCTCGTCTGTCAATACACCCATACTGCTACTAGCGTCGTCTGTCAATACACCCATTGTGCTACTAGCCTCGTCTGTCAATTCACCCATTGTGCTACTAGCCTCGTCTGTCAATACACCCACAATGCTTCCTTGTCTCGTCTGTCAATACACCAATAATTCTACTAGCCTCGTCTGTCAAAACACCCATAATGCTACTAGCCTCGTTTTTCAATACCCCCATAATAGTGCTACTAGCCTCGTCTGTCAATACAACCATAATACTACTAGCCTCGTCTGTCAATACACCCATTGTGCTACTAGCCTCGTCTGTCAATTCACCCATTTTGCTTCTAGCCTCGTCTGTCAATACACCCATAATGCTACTAGCCTCGTCTTTCAATACACCCATAGTGCTACTAGCCTCGTCTGTCAAAACACCCATAATACTTCCTTGACTCGTCGGTCAATACGCCCATAGTGCTACTAGCCTCGTCTGTCAATACACCCATAATAATACTAGCCTCGTCTGTCAATACACCCATAATGCTTCCTTGCCTCGTCTGTCAATACACCCATAATCATAGTAGTGCTACTAGCCTTGTCTGTCAATACACCCATAGTGATACTAACCTCGTCTGTCAATACACCCACAATGCTTCCTTGTCTCGTCTGTCAATACACCAATAATTCTACTAGCCTCGTCTGTCAAAACACCCATAATGCTACTAGCCTCGTTTTTCAATACCCCCATAATAGTGCTACTAGCCTCGTCTGTCAATACAACCATAATACTACTAGCCTCGTCTGTCAATACACCCATTGTGCTACTAGCCTCGTCTGTCAATTCACCCATTTTGCTTCTAGCCTCGTCTGTCAATACACCCATATTGATACTAGCCAGGTCTGTCAATTCACCCATAGTGCTTCTATCCTCGTCTGTCAATACACCCATAATGCTACTAGCCTCGTCTTACAATACAACCATAATGCTAATAGCCTCGTCTGTCAATACACCCATAATGCTACTAGCCTCGTATGTCAATACACCCACAATGCTACTAGCCTCGTCTGTCAATACACCCATTATGATACTAGCACACCCATAATGCTACTAGCCTCGTCTGTCAATACACCCATAATGCTACTAGCCTCGTCTGTCAATACACCCATACTATATTATTATTGGTGTATTGACAGGCGAGGCTAGTACCTGTGGGCTGCCACATTATGTGGACATGTTCTTGTATTTAGCTAATACTGGCTTTGCATTTTGATTAGAAGTCATCGTACTCTAATGATAAAATCTTCTATTGTAGAGAGTACCGTTAGAGACAAATAGCGTGAGGTTCAAGTTCGTCACAGCAGGGATGTATACAGCAATGGTGAGTCCGTTACTTCAGTATTCTGGTGACATCTGTGTCTCTATTCAACGTCCAATTCAACATCTGCGAAACCATCATTTGTCTTTATAAAGTATATTTCATTTCTTTTATATATCTATAATATAATATCATATACAAAAACATCCAAAGTCCCTGTGATCGTTAAGTATAAAAGAAATGATGTAATGAGTTTGTTTAGGGTTTCACCAGAGGCTATAAATCAATCCGGATGAGTCATAGCGTCATATTTTTAAATGCTTACGTCTATTCAAAAGCCATTGCATCTAATAGAATACATATATAAGGAAATATATACAGTGAATCCACATTCAAATTAGAGGAGTAAACAAGTAAACAACTTATGTTTCCTAATATATCGGTATTGTTGTAAGCTCAAGAAGATATGATCTGTACAGTCCCTGTAATTATCAGTATGGTATTTGAGCACTCTACCTCTCCATGAATATGATGATAAAACTGATACTGTTGACAACATTTCTAGCGCTGGGTGTATATTTATGAATATAACAACCTTTCCCGTCGATATGACGACGCAAGCCATTATAAAATGTTTTAAATAATATATCATTTGAAAGCTTACTGTGGCATGAAGAAAGGTCACTTAGAGCTTTACTATTATCAAAAACATGTATGAAAATATAAAATCATGTGTAGAATTAAAAAACACCAAGTCTGAGTTATTTCCTTGTCTAGTTGGTGTAAGGCAGGGCGGAAATCTTTCCCAGTTTTTATTTTCTATCTACCTTACTGGCATGGAAGACTTTTTTTAGAGCCAATAGTTCACTCCCCTTAGAACAATTGAAAGATAGATTTCAGACTGAGCTGAATATGGTGGTGGATATTTTCGTCCTGTTATACGCCGACGATATAATTCTTCTTTCTGATTCTGCTGAAGGTTTACAAAATGCTCTTAACGTTTTTCAGAAATACTGTGATATATGGAAATTAGAAGTTGATGTGAAGAAAACAAAGATATTTGTAAACGCAGATCTAATAATAACCCTGTATTTAGAATTAACGGTCAGGTTATAGAAGAAGTGGACAATTTTAGCTATCTGGTGTGACATTTAATTACAATGGTAGCTTTGTGAGCAAGCCCAAAAATCCATTTTTTTGCGTATCGTAATATTAAAAATCAACATTTTTTGCAGACGAATTTTGGGCCTGCGAACTTCGACTCCAAACTTTATGATTTATGGTGTATTAGGTCATTATACTCTTGAGATAGCTGTTAATTGAGAATGATGACTGTTTATAACTCACTCTTAATGAATACCTCTAAACTTAGTTGCCATATGTATAGATCAATGTTCAAACTTCAAATCAATAATTTGTGTAAGTTTAAATGTTTAGAATATATAAAAATGTGTTTTGATGAAGTCGGACAAAGTTCTATTTTTATAAAACAGGAACCTATTAGTTAAAATAATATTTTAAAAACACTGTCAAACAAATTTTGATTTACCATTTTTTTTTAAATAGGGCATGCAGACATTTAAAATTAATCTCGAGGTGAACTTTATGGTCACTATAAGAAGAAACATGAACTTGATCCCTATTTGACTCGCCTTTCTAAACAAAACAGCTTAATATTATGCAAATTTAGATGCTCTAATATGAAATTTCCCATTAAACGGGTTGGTGGCATTATATTCAAAAACAAGACCGAAAATGTACTCAATGTAAAAATGATCAAGGCGACGAATTTCATTATTTATTCAAATATACAAATTTAATGACTGTAAAGGTAAGAGAAAAATATATTCCTTTGTATTATAGAAAAAAATCCCTCTCAAATTAAAATGAGTGGTCTTTTGTCAATTTGTAACAAGACAGTATTAAATGGAGTTTGTCTTTTGTTGGAAAAAATAACAAACTGTTGTAAATATATACTACAAGCACCATCTATTGATACTGTATCATGCATACTGTTTTGTGTAATTGCCATCCATTTAGTCATGTGTATTATGGTACTCCGATACCTCATGTTGTGCATTGTAATATATCTGAGGAAAACAATAAACTTGTAAAACTTGTAGTATTTGCATCGTATTAATACTAGATTATATTAATTCTATACTAAATAACAATTTACGTAGTTAAGTGTATTCTGTATTTTGTATTGTGGGCCTTTTCACCCGAAAGCAGACTTTGCAGTGGTGTCAGAAATACATTTGTTCCAACCCGTGAAGGTTGTTTTGTTATTTCTGCTGCTTAAACCATTGTATCTTAAGATTTTAACTGTAAATGGACACTTCATCAACTTGTCAGATGCCCTCAGAACTACTTGGCCTGCTTGATATTTATTTACTGACAATATTGTATTTCTGTTACAGATCGAAATTGCGGGAAAAAATTACCACTCCCATCCTTTTTGTGTGGGAAAATCAAAACAGCTGAACGACGATGGTTTAAGCACTTTCTATAACTCGGAAAGTATGTTTCTTATTATATTTGTATTATTTAAGTTAACTATCGAATATATGTACCCTTAAGATGTAACGCCGTGCAGTTTGAATAATAACTGGACACACTGTGCAGTCTCAAGTACCGACATTTACACTTACCATTTACCGTAGGTCGGTTTTACCGGCAATCGTGGTATTATCTGTTACTCACGGGCAAATTGCCATGCATGGGGATATTATTCACCATATACTATTCAATATAGTATAGCATTTGGCTGAGGTCGATACCTGGATTTATCGACCCGAGAAAAGATATATTAACCGAGGACATTTAGTAAGTTCTGTCCACAAAAAGGTTGAAAATCAGTTGGAAGTAACTTTGTAAGTTTTCTGAAAAGATGTATGCACAGAAGTTTCTGAAAAAAGTAGAACTATTATATGATAAAAAAGAAAGTTTCAGTTGAATATTTGATGTTTATCAAATATACATCCACACTTTTTAATAAAATTCAAACATGCATTAAAGTTAAAATATAATCCTGAGTAAACTTTTACCGCAATGGCTACATTAAGACATATTGTTACATTAATTTTCTGGAATAAAATGAATTTACAAAAAAACACCCACACTTTTGGGAAACAAAATAAAATATACATACACTAATGTAATTAAACTTGACAAAACAGTTTGAAATTAATGAGAATATCTACCTTATTAATTATCTTATTTACCTAGTTAAGTCCTTCAATTGAACATTCAGATTTCCTGACGATGTGCTGGCTTTAAATAACTAGACTTTTATTGACCACGTCGATCGTATATATACCTTATTTAACTTTAAATCAGGGATACAACCGACTCTCCTACATCAATCGCTTTCCTCGTTCTTTACTAACACCATGCCCAACAGGGACTACATTAACTTGTACTATAAGCATGATGATTTCGATATTATGGTCTTGAACTTTCCATTTCTTGATAGCAACCGCCAAACTTCCACCGGCAGCGTTTACATGTCGTAGTTGTTTCACTGTTTATATGTTTGTCAAATATACAGATTTCCGTGATAAATGGCGAATGGTGACGGGTAAACTTGTACAAAAGGGGTGATAGAGATTTAGGCTGATGAAGACTATTGGAAAGCTTTACTTTCCGTTCCCTTCTGAACAGTTGTTTGTGAATTAATATTAAGGACCCCCATAGTAACCACCTTATTTGATGTCGAACCAACTTTAAATTTGAATTAAATGTTTGATTGTAAGCACGATTCATATTTTTGTAGACAGGAGCGACCCCGTCAGTGAACCCACACACGTTATTCCGATATTGGCTTCATTCCTATTTCTATTGTTCTTGTGCACAATGGTGGCTGTGGTCCTTTATCTGAACAAACACAGGTTGACCCGCCTCATCAAACATAACCACCAAACTCCACAAGGTAATATATAGTAGTAGATACAGTACATGGGAATACATCAGAACCCAGTATATTTTTTATAAGTAGCATTGGAAAAGTGTATTCCGATATGCATATTGGAAACATTCATTCTATTATTTAATCATTTATTAAAACAAATGGACGCAAAAAAGGGTTATGGTGTTAAAGGAACATTCTATGATCGTTATTTTGATGTGTCTGGTCATTGTGACGACTAAGTCGATTTGAAAGTGTTTTCATTACATATATTATGAAGTGACGTTTCACTCATGCTTCGTATTGACATGGACATATATAGCAATCTAATCTTATTCCGTGGTATTGATATGTACATATATTTTTTGGCTTTTATTCCAGTTGAAAATGTTACTAGAATACTACTGCTAAACCGAGATCAAGATCAACGGACGGCCAAGTTTTTAATGGACCATGCTGACACGCACTTCCCTGGGGTAAAGTTTGTTTCTGTTGAGGAACCGGAAGCGGAAACGGATATTCCAAACAATAAGTTAATGGAAAAGGCAGTTAGGTCATGTGATCATATCGTTGTGATATGGTCTCCACCAGACGTCGAAGAAGAAGAAGATATTTTCGAAGAGACAATAACAAACGAAAGTATTATCACGGGCAATAGTAATGTCGATCTATGTGTTATTCTCTCATCAGAGGGTGTCGACAACTCTTCACTACCCGTTGAATTTAACGGAGCTCGTAAATTTGATTTAACAACAGAACTAGACTCGTTTTTTCAACATTGCTTTTCACAAAGTTCTGATTCATCAGAACTCTTACAAAACTTTCATAAATCTCCATCGTATAAAACAATCAACGAATCTTACACAAAATCTTCAGGTACAAAGCAAGACGAAGATGAATGTGAACCTCCTTTAGGAATACACAGCAGTTGTCCTGTCCATGGCAGAAAGGACATGCAAGACACTAGTTTTAACATTGTAACATCTGAAACTGACACCCGGCAAGAAGACAGACAGCCAGATCAATTAGCATATACGAACTGTCCTGTTCACGGGACATGTGCGCAGCCGCAAATGGATATTGCATTTGAATCCGATTCAAATTTGTCACTTGAAAGCAGATTTTTATTGCTGAACGCAAGTAGTTGACACGCCAATACCTCTTATACATAGGGGAATAGGCACTTTATAATTCAAGTACAGGCGTTTCTGAGTTTTAGAAAGTAACGTTACCGTTTCAGATACCATGTTCACGTTGTACACTTTAAACTGATTGCGGTATGGCAATGTATACCGTGTAAATATTTTCGCGCTAATTTACTGAACGTTATATTTACGAATATTTCCACACCGCGATAATTTCCAATTTTACAGTATATACAGAATATAAAACCTCGTTATAATGCCATTTGATGTAGTTGCCACCGTACATGTGCCAAACGTAAAAACGTAAAGAAATTTTATCAAAATTATACATTGTATTCATCAGACCTATTTTAGAATATGCGAGTGAAGTGTGGGTTGGTTGTAACAATGCAGACTCTGATAAAATAGAAAAAGTCCAACTGGAAGCAGCCAGAATAGTTACAGGTTTGCATTTATTTGCTAGTAGACAGTCTTTGTATAGTGAAACTGTCTGGGAAAAACTTGAAGACAGATGGAAAAAAAATATGTTATTATTATACAAAATACACCATAATTTAGTTCCTTCTTACCTAAACGACATCGTACCCAGTAAAGTAAATGACATTAGTAGATATAATTTAATAAAAATGGTCAAGATTATGTATTACCCAAGTAACTAAAGACATACTGCCTAAACGCAGACTTGATATTGAATCACCGAATGACGAAATAATTTGGATCGAATTTTGTACTAATAATAAGAAATATCTTACTATGTGTACTATACAAACCTCCATGGCAAAATACTAACTCTGGAATTTGGACTCGACTGAAACATTCTTTTGACATAGCTTTTGACAACCCTCCTCATGTTATATTAACAGGGGATACTAACATTGACTTATTAACAGGAAATAACAATGATCTTAGCATTCTAACACAGCAATATAATCTAACTAACCTGATTACCAGTCCAACTAGAGTAACAAATACTACACAATCCCTTATAGACCCATTTTACATCAGTGATACTATATCCTCCGAATCATCCATTGTTGTACCAGTTTTAGAAGCTATAAGTGACCGCAGAGCTTTAATTGTGTCATTGTCATCATGTCTACCAAAACCAAAGTCTTTTAAGAGGAAAACAGGGTTATACAACAGAGCATATATTTTAAATCTAAAAACAGAGGTAGGACAGGTAAATTGGATAGATTTGTTTTCTTATGCAGATAATGTAAGCGAAAAATGTAAACCGTTCACTGACAAAATAATTTCTATTTTAGAAAAACATATTCCTAAAAAAAAATGTAACTGTAAATAGAAACGACAAACCATGGATGAACGGAGATATAAGAAAAGAAATTAAACGTAGAAACAGGTTAAGGAAACATTTCATCAGAGTTAAAACCCCATTGTCTGAAGCTAAATTTTTACCTGCACGAAACAAAGTAAATAATATTTATACAAATGTAAATGTACTTATCAATGATAGTGCAGCTAATCCCAAAGCATACTGGAAACTAATGCGTATGCTTTTAAAAGGTAACATTTCTACCGATATACCTCCCTTACTAAACCCTACTACAATCAAAATCGTTACGGCGTTAACAAGTCGTGTATAAAAAGAACACGCCCACAAACCGAACGGTTGTTTCAGCGTGTCACTCACTGCATCTGGCTCGTCGATTGGTTGATAGAACGTTTGAGGTCGGTGTCGTCCTTGTTTTCAGAAGCAGTGTACAACATTGTATCTTTTTTGGAGACTTGTTGTTTGCGCGCATTGTCAACTTAAGATTACGCATACACGTATATGGAAATGTAAAATTTACATTACCGCTTAACCACAGACGACTATGGCAAATCCAATATTCTAAATAACTTCTCTAAATCTGTTTCTGACCTTGATGGCCATAATGACGATATACCCTATTTTGACAACCAAACAGACGCGTCCCTTACTGAAATTGAATAACAGAACAAGAGGTTTTAGATATAATCAATATTTTAGACACTAATAAAGCTGCTGGTCCTGACGGCATCAGTCATAACATGTTAAAAATGGTATCAAATGAAATATCTGCACCCTCACACTTCTATTCAACGAATCCTTTCGTTCTTCTGTATTTCCTGATTCATGGAAACTTTCCCATGTGACACCTATTTTCAAAAAGGGGGGATCTGAATTGGCAAATAACTACAGACCCATTTCTTTACTTAGCTGCACTGGCAAACTTTTCGAACGAATAATTAATAAGCTCATCTATAACTATCTATTCAGCAACAAACTTTTATATACTTTACGCTTCTTACCAAATCACTCTACAACTCACCAACTCATCGAACTCTATCATAGCATACTTAATTACAGCACTGGAGAATCGTGAATATACTGCTCTTGTTTTTTGTTTCGACCGAGTCTGGCATAAAGGTCTATTAATTAAATTAGAAAAATACGGGATAAAAGGTAAACTTTTAGATTGGATTAAAAACCACTTAAGTAACAGACGCCAGTCAGTGGTACTAAAAAAATGCTATATCTTCTGAAGTATCTATCAAAGCCGGAGTTCCTCAATGTTCAGTGTTAGGGCCACTTCTTTTTCTTGTATACATCAACGATATTTCAAATACTCTACTATCAATAACTTGACTTTTTGCTGACGACACCGCATTAGCACACTCTTCCAAAAAATTACACGATATAAAACAAGTAATAAACTATGACATGGAACAATTAAACCTTTGGTCAAATAAATGGTTAATGACTTTCAACCCAAATAAAACCGAAATACTCTTAATTTCTAACACAAATATACCTTCTAACCCACAATTTCTTTTCGACAACACACCTATCCCTATTGTTAAAAACCACAAACACCTAGGAGTCATTATTAGTAACAACGGCACATGGAACTCTCACATTGAACATATAATAACAAATACTACAAAGTACATTGCAACTTTAAGGAAATTAAAACACATCCTAAATTGAAAAAACTTGGAAAAAATATACCTTGTTTTTATAAGACCACTATTTGAATATGCCAGCGAAGTATGGGACAATTGTAATATCACATTTTCGAATAAATTAGAGAACATGCAGTATGAAGCAGGTCGAATAATAACTGGATTACCTGTTTTTAAAAAATAAATAAAAAAATACAGAGAGCTCGGATGGAAATCATTGACAGATAGACGCAGGATTAGAAAGTTATCCCGTGTGTTTTATAATATTTATCATGATAATGCTCCCTCATTTCTAAAATCTCTTCTACCATCTATTGTGTCAAACTTCTCTAACTATAATCTTAGAAACAGGAATAACTTTCAGAACCCATACTATAGACTGCAAGTCACAAAATCATCCTTCATACCAAGTACTTCAGACTCGTGGAACAATCTTCCAATAGAAACAAAGTCATCAGCATCCATTAAACAATTTAAAACTCTTTTTCAACCTCGAAGTCACTACCCCTTCTTATATTAAATGTTTTCTTGAATATGGGACCAGAAAAGTAAATATTATACATTGCCAATTACGAAACCGCAGTAGCTCTTTGAATTACGACCTTTTTAAAGCTCACCTTCGAGACAACTCTACTTGCGACTGCGGAAATGACTCGGAAGACTCTTCCCATTTCTTACTAAACTGTAAAAAATTGATCAATCCCGTAATATAATGCTTTAATCCCTCGACTGGTATAACAAAATCACTGTTGAACACCTTCTCTTCGGAGATGCAAACCTTGACTACATTCTAAACATTCAAATTTGTAGGTCTGTACAACTGTTCATTTTTAGCTCCAAACGGTTTAACATGTAATACCCACCAGTCATATTGAATAACCAGGATACCTACTTCGACTATTCCTATCTGTCTCTCCCTTCCACCTCCTCTCTTATTCCAGCCCCTCTCCCTTTTTCCAACACTAACGATCCTTGTGTACTAACTTCAATCTTAGCGTCCATCAATATCACAGACATAGAGCGCGTGTCCGGTTTTCCTAATCTAGTCGGCTAAGTATGCAAGGCAGGAATTCACAGAAGGACTTGGAGTGACACAGGAGAAAGGCAAATGCGGCACGAAATGTGACTGAACTTTAGAAAAGCAGAAGGATATGTGTGTATAGATTAGGTATACTTCTTACGCCGACTCGATTAGAAAAATCACACACGCGATCTCAATTAAACTCTCCGAATACATATTTAAAAACTATACGTTGGTGTCCCTAATTCTATCATTACCTCTTTTGCTGTAACCCATCTTTAACATCTTATATATGTATACTTATATAAATTTGTATTAGGTTATTACGTTACACGTTAATTTTGTATATATATTTATCTGTTACGGAAAGGACGTAAGTAAGTTGCAATAACTTTTGTCCAACCATTTGTTTTTTGTTGCAATAAAATTGATTTAAACTATTACCCAAGTGTCGACTAGTTTTGTATGAAAAAACGTTTATCCCCATCCTGAGAATGTGGAATTCATTAGATATTTCAACTAGAACTCTAGAAACAGTGTCAAAGTTTATACATAGTATTTTTAGAAAAAACAAATCTGTAACTAAACTGTCTGTAGGTAACAAAAAAATGATATAATACATACTAGACTCCATCACGGTTGTAGCGCGTTGAATGCAGATCTTTTCAAATGTAATTTAGTCTTATCACCAGCATGTAACTGTTCTTTCTCAATAGAAAACCACTTTCATTATTTTTTCAGTGTAATATATACAACCAGTGTCGTGATATACTTTCCAGACAATTATCTAGATATGATAGAGTCATTGATCTAGATGTACTGTTGAACGGTTCAAGTGTTTAAAGGTAAAAAAAAGTAATATCTATAGACAAATACATACAGTATTTAAGGGGGGCCGTCATATAGTGCTGTTTATGCCCGTTGCGTCCCGTCCCGTCTCGTCCCGATTCATTCCCTTGCGGATTTTGATAAAACTGTATACAAAGGTCAAGTATGTGAATTCTTCGGAAACTTCTGTATTTCAGGGTTCGAAGGTTAATGCCAAGGTTACTGTTGCTATATATAGAAAGTCATGAATCGATTCAGTGTCATCACTCTTGATCAAGGTTTCAGAGGTCACTTCATGCTGCTATTCATATATGTTTTCTCTCTATTTCTCCATCTGTCAACCTGAAGTACACTATATGATAATATTTTGAATGTGCACTTTTTCGGGTTGTCAAAGTCTTTGTAATTATTTATAGAACATAATCAAACAATGAAACTAAGTTCACATGGCATCAGCAGGAATTATGTCTTCAGACACTTTCTGGTTCTTTTTGTTTTTAATTCATAATTTTATTTATTTATTTGTTTTAATACACACTACTGAAACAATCGAAATGAAAAATAAACAGTATACAACACGCATCTAAAATAACCATCGGTATATTGGGCTCCTATCATGAACATAACCGGTTTTTAGTTTAAGATCATATTATGTCTTTGACATTTCTTTATAATACGAGTTGTCTCCCTTGCATTATTGGGAGACAGTCACTGGAGACAGTTTAGATTTCACAGGTGCAGTGTGCTGAGGTGCAAACTACTGGTCTTATGTCGCACAGACAAAATATAATACCAACATACTAGAATGAACACATGTATATTAATCTATCTACTTGTGAATGACATGTAGTTTATTAAAAATACATCATTTTGACAATATGAATTTGGTTTGTTTGTGTTTATTTAAGGGCGTGTATATCAGGTTTTGGTGATAGAGGAAAGCCGGAGTACCCGAAAAAACCCACCGATCTACGGCCAGTACCAGGCGAATGCCCCACGATTGTCTCGAACCCGCGACCCAGTGCTGGAGGTACTGGAGGTATTGAAGGTCTAGTGGTAGCAGCATGTCAGACAGATATAAAACCGTTAGTAATAATAGTTATAGCGATTGTAGTATGTTGCACATATTAAACATAACTCTAGACGAATCGTTTTTACAGATAATTTAGAATACCCGAACATTTTTGTATTTGTTGCATATTATTAGAAATGAGTTTCGTCTCAGTACAATTACCGTAACACTTCGTTCTGATAGCGATCCTTCTCTGTCACGCTTAAATCTTGTTGTATAAGTATTTTAAGAAAGTCCCATATTTCAGACTCATAAAGCATTACAGGATTTATAGTGTGATCAAAATGTTTAATCTGGATCTTAAAGGTTTAAAAATTGCGAATAACTCATTCACCCCTAAAATTTCATAATGAACTATTCCAACCTCTGAATTGGAAGAGTTTATATCTCTTCAGGGGTGAATGAGTTAAAGGTGAGCTTCTGTCTATTTTCGGTATATTAAATCCCTTTTGTTAACTAAGCATTTGTTGTTGCTATGTTATTAAACGTGTTAAATATAACGGTTTATGAACAGAAGAATACAATAAGAGGCCAGGGATCTAGGCGACCAAACATGCTCCTTTGTATTGGTAAGCTAACCAGCCTTTTGATTTTGTCGGTTTTCACTAACCAGCCGCAAATGGTTTACTTTTGTAGTATAGGACGGGTCGATTTTCAAACCCGAGGGTTGTCAGCTTTAATACTAAGCCTCTCGTACATTAATCGAATGGACCATATGGTGGTACTGTTGTGGTTAAATATATAAAAAAAAGTTTGTTCGGACATCCGTAAAAACATTCGGACACTGTTTGTATCAAATCGGACTCTTTTA